GAGAGAGAGAGAGAGAGAGAGAGAGAGAGAGAGAGAGAGAGAGAGAGAGAGAGAAAATAAAAACAAATTAAAGATTGAGCCAGAGCTTTGGGACATTATTTAACAAGTATCTTTTTTATGTCTTGACATTAAGCTGGCCTAACTACATTTCAGGGACTAAGGGCCGTACGCTAATCTAAAGGGTAGTCGGTGCTGATGGCAGCATTTCAGGCCAGCTCTCAATACTCAATCAAGCTATTACTAACAAACGCGAGACGAATAATGCCAGGGTCTACATCTTCCTCCTGCCTGGAAATTGTCTTGATTTAAGTAACTGTCCTGTGGCAACCTCTGCCTTTCAGAACATAACGAGGGGGTGGGTTTCAAATGCCTGTTTATTTAATAGCAGGTCACTTCTGTCTCTGGCAAAAGACAGCACAGCCGGCTAGAATCTCCAAAGCAGTCATGGGGAAATCCGCGGAGCAGGGTGGTGATGAGGGAGGCTCGTGGCTCTGCTCAGTCAGGAGGCTGGGGGAGCCAGTGGAATTAGTGGGCGTCGTGCAAAGGGGAGAGAGCAAGCTTTGGGCCATAAAATTGCAATACATATTTTCCAGCAAGAGAAAGAAAGCCAAGGAAAGGACATAGTTATCCAGCAACATAAGAGAGATTAAACATATTTTTTGGACACCCATACAATTGAAGAGTGTACTGACAAGTGCAGCCAGAGCTAGCCCTCCATGTACTCAGCGAGTTGGAATAATCTGCAAGATAAAGGAATTAGTAAGTGGTAGGGAGGTGGGGATCTAGAACAATTAAAAAAGTATAACCCCATTTATTTAGAAAAAAATGAAGCTCCTTGAAGTAAAAATTATATATTTATAAATGTATGCAAATTCAAAGAGAAAACTCAGAAAAAACTATACACTAAACTAATAACAGTAATTACCTCTGGGAGAGGAAAGGATGAAGTGGAAAGTTTGCTTTTGACTTTATATACTTCTATATTGTTTGAATATTTTATAACAAGAACAGATTTGTATATTACTGGTGCAATTAAAAATAAATAAGCCAGTAAACAGAGTTCTTTTTTTTAAAACTCCATAACAATGTGAGACAGACAAACCTTTGCAGATTCAAGGTTAATGATGGAGAGCAACCATAGATATGATAGAAAGATAGGACCAGCACTCTCAGACACTGACCTCCCAAGGATGTCCCAGTAGAGATACCTGGAGCATCCCATGTCAGAGCACCCAATAGCCATACAGCATTATTTTGGGAGTCCTATCCAGCCATTAGTATCGTTGATACTCTAGGTTGATTTAAGCTTCTCCTTGTGTATATGGACACCCCAGTTGCCTTCAACCTACAGCCTGTATTGGCCAAGTGTTTTCCAGCTGCTGTATGCATCTCCTCTTGTTCTCATCACTAGATGGACTTTGAAAAAATAGGATCTGGAAGCCAGGCGGTGGTGGCGCACGCCTTTAATCCCAGCACTCGGGAGGCAGAG